TACCTTTTGCTCAGAAAAGGGTAAAGCCATGTAGATTTTAACATAGGGATGATGTTAGTGAGTATATGATAAGGGTAAGTAACGAGTGATGGGTTTGGCATTAGAGGATCTTGGTGTGATTCCCATTTTTGCTACTTTTTATCTGTGTGACCCTGGGCAAGTCACTTAACCTTTATGGGGTCCAGTTCTCTCATTTGTAAAATGAGGGGGTTAGACTAGATAAGCTTCAAAGTCCCTTCTAGCTCTGAGTTTATGATCATGTGAATTGCAGAGGACTTTTAAGACATGATTGAATGCCACTTAAGGGATAGCAAGGAGAAAGGTGTCCTCTGGTGTCATACAGATGAGAAGAAAGTGGAATATGTTGTAATAACTATAATGTCTTGTATTCAAATGTAGTGCATGGACAAAAACCATTCCCCATAGTTTTAGACTTCTATACACAGGGTATTTAAATATCTCTACATTTCCTGCCACTTACCTTGTGACTTTGAAAAGCCATAATGGAAGGAGGCTTGTAGAACAACAGGTTGGACATCCATGTGGGACATCTCTAGCTGGGTTAGCTTTGGAAGGAGATTAACATTGGACATTTTTATTTGGGAGTCATCTTTGCTGAGATGAAAATTAAATATATGATCTCAAGGATTGGATCATTGAGTGTAGAAGGTGGAAAAAAATGCCTAAAAGAGAACCTCGGGAGATGATCCAGAGAAGAAACTGAGGAAGAGGTGGTCAGAAAAGTAGAAGAACCAAGGCCAAGCAGTATCATGGAAACCAAGGGAGGAGAGAATATCTATGAAAAGCCACTAAGTAGTGCTGAAGCCTGTAGTATGGTCAAAGTGGATAAGGACTGGGGAAAGGCTATGAGTTTTGCAATCGAGATCACTGATAACCTTTGAGAGAAGATTTTCAGTGGAGTAATAGGTCTGGATGAAATATTGCAGGAGATTGAATAATGAGTGGAGATTGAATAAGTAGAGGCAATGATTGTAGAATTTCTAGGAGTGAACAGTAAAAGGGATGGGAGATATAAGACTATAGTTTAAGGTGATGGCAAGGCCCAGGGGAGACATATTTATAATAGAGAAGACAAGAGAATGTGGCTAGTAGAGAATTAGCCAGTAGATGGAAGATGAAGAGAGAAGGAATGATTGATAGGGACAAAGTTTTGAATAAGATGGGGGAATTTAGCCATGGGCAAGGTGAAAGGTCACCATATCTGCTCATATTAGAGCAAAGGAGAAGTTGAAGATGTAGAGAGATTTCAACATGTGGATAGTGGGAGATGACTCAGGCCATCTGACTTTGAATTTATTTATTTATTTATTTATTTATGGTTGAGTAGAAACAGAGTCATCTACTAAGGAAAGGAGGAATTAGAGTCACAGTAGACTTGAGGAAAAGGTTTGTAATAGTGAAACCACTTTTGGAAATGTGATAGAGATCAGTGTGGGCCAGGTTAATTTGAGTGGATTCAATTGCCTATCAACAGCATTTCACATTTTGGGAGTAGAATTGGTAAATACAGAAGATGGAAATGACTGAGGGTAGGGACTGGCAAGATATGAACAATGGAATGACAAAGGGTCAGGGATTCAAAGGGGTGAGACTGTATCTTGTTGAATTAGATAACTAATTGTATATAATAATTAGATTCAGTCTTGGTCAAGGTTGGGGAACCTGCACCCTGGTGGCCACATGTGTCCCTTTAGATCTACAAATGTGCTCTTTGACTGAATCCAAACTTCACAGAGCAAATCCCCTTAAAAGGATTTGGACTCAGTCAAAAGGCCTCACTTGAGGATATAGAGAGCCACATATGGCCTGGAGGCCACAGGTTCCCCACCCCAGGTCTTGACCATACATTAGATGAGAACAGAACAAGAAAGGAGAGTGAGTGGAGGACATCAGAAAAAATGAAGCTGAGGAAGAGATATAAGAATAGGATATTGTGATCAGAGAGAGGAATTTCAGAATTCAAGATCTTGGAGGTAGAATAATTTTGAGTGATGGTGAGATGGAGACTGACCACACCTTTGTGTGATAGAGTGTGATAGAGGCTGAGATAAAGTTGAGGTGGTAGTCATGTGAATTGAGGAGACTGATAAAGCCAAAGACCATGATGTTCAGAGGGTCATGAATGTGAATCTTGAAATCTTACAGGATGAGGGCAGGAGTTTGGTTATAGAAGAGACTGTAGGAGGCAGTATAGTGGATCGGGCACTGGCCTTGAATTCAGGAAGACCTATACTCAAATCCTACCTCAGGCACTAGATGTGTGAACCTGGGCAAGTCATTTAGCCTTTCTATGCCTCAATTTCCTCATCTGTAAAGTGAGGGGGTTGAAATCAGTGGCCTCTAAGGTTCCTCCTAGCTTTAAAATCTATGATCCTACCAGTTGGTTACTGATTTCTTGAGATAGGAGGGACAGTACTATATGCTAGCAAAAGAGCATCTGGATAGGGTGACACTGATAAGATGGAGTAAATATCAGTGTGATAGAGTGTACTAGGAGGGGATCTGGAAGTAGCCCAAGATGTATGTGTGTGAGGGAAGGAAGATGGAAGAGAATGAGAGAACAAGGAGGAAACACTGGAAAGGGTGGCAAGGGAGGAATTATCTTCTAAAGAAATCTGTGTTTCTGTGAATGTCTTGAGGTGGGAAGAATATCAAAGGAAGTGATGAAGGCAAATTTGTTAACTGTATTTGAATTCTTGAGGGCATATTAGAAGATGAAGGCAGGGGGAAAAAGGGATAGGGAATGAATTGAGCCAAATTGAGTTAGTTGAAAGTGCAGGAGAAAGTTGGCAGGGGAAAGAGGTCTTTGACTTGGCAGATGACCACTGAATCAGAGGGCATGTGGAATGAAAGGTAGGTTTTCGCTAGTAATAGGACAGAGGAAGGATGGGACAGTCTGTAGACTAATTTGGCCCTAATTAATTAGAAATCTAGTACAGCCAGATGGTACAGTGGATAGGGTACTGGGCCTGGAGTAAGGAAGACTCATCTTCCTGAAGTCAGTTCCTGCCTCAGACACTTACCAGTTGTGTGACCCTGGGCAAGTCATTTAACCCTGTTTGCCTCAGTTTCTTCATTTGTGAGATGATCTGGAAAAAGAAATGGCAAACCACTCCATTGTCTTTGCCAAGAAAACCCCAGATAGGATCCTGAAGAATCAGAGTACTGAAAATAACTGAACAATTAGAAATCTGGTAGGCTTTTCTGGCAATGGTTTCTTTCAGGCAGAGAGCTTCCATAATTGATCTGAGGGGGTGGGGGATCAGTGGCCACTAAGTTCACCTGGTGAAGAAGGGTTGAGGCGTCATTTTGATTTATCCATGTACATACATACTCATCCCTCTTATCCAAGGGCGAAACAACCAGTTATGAAAATAAATTCATGAAATTATGCCAAATTTAATTCTCTTGCTCTCTTCTCCATTCCTAATCCTTAACCTGTTTGTAGGTAAACCTGGTTCTCTGCTCAATGATATTTGGCATTAGCCTGGGAGATTTATGCAGCTTCAACTGACGTAGCACTTGTTGGAGGAGTGGGAATGAAGAAGAGGCTCTGAAACTTTCTGGTGACTAAGATCAAAGAAATGATTCCTTTTCACGGACATTTAAAAATATCTATTTCTTTGTCTTTGTAATCCCTGTTGTCTAGTACAGTGCATTGCACATAGTAGGCACTTAATAAATGCTTGTTGATGGATTTTTAAAAAAACAGTGACTCCAGTTTCTTTTCAAGTTGTAATAACCTATATTTTTGAGATTTGATATACTTTTATTTTAAAATATTCTCTTTATTTTGGAAACTTCAGGGGTCAGCTAGGTGGCACAGTTCATAAAGTGCTAGTCTTGCAGTCAGGAAAGATCTAAATTCAAATCCAGCCTCAGACATTTACTCACTGTGTGACCCTGGGCAAGTTATTTAACCTCTCTTATCTTCAGTTTCCTCATCTGTAAAATGGAGGTAATAATAGGAACTTTTTCACAAGGCTGTTGTGAGAATAAAATAAGATGTATGTAAAGTTCTTTGCAAATCTTGAAGCGCTATCTAAATAGTAGGTATTCTTGTTGATTCTTTCTTGAGAAATTACCAACGCCTTCTGAAATAATTTGTGACAAAGTTGGACACTGCTGAAGTTTAGTTGAGACCACTGATTTAAATATTCTTTAAAAGTTACAGATGCATTGGATTCTTGCTATCATACTTAACTATAAAAATTCTTTTTGTAAGGCATTTCTATAATGAGAAAGGCAGAATAATTTAAAGGGAGTTTAATTGTTTAACTCCCTAAGGAACCTAAGTTTCCATCTAAGACATTACAGGATAAGTAACCAGTCTGATGCAGTGAAAAAGGCACTGTATTTCAAATTAGGGGATCTGGTTTTGGATCCTTGTTGTACTTGTTACTTGTGTGAACATATGCAAGTCACTTGACTCTCAGGGCTGATTTTCTTATCAGCAAAATGAGTGGTTTGGAGTAAATGATGTCTAAGGCTTCATTGAGCTCTAAATCCTCAGTTCTCTGTGAAACACAAAAGTAGTATTACAAGGCTGAGGCTGTGAGTGTGCATGTTTGGAATTTGTTTTGTTTGTTTATATCAATAGTAATAAAATGTAGTCTGTGTCTTCTGGGAATATCTATGTGTCATTCCATGACAAGTATTGTTCTGGGCACATAAGTGGGAATTTATTAAATTTAAATAAAATAAAATATTTGATGACAAAATATAGTCTGAATTGAAAAGACCATTTAATATAATTATATGTGCTCAGCACAGTCATTTGTATATAGAAGATGCTTTAGTAAAGGAGTGTTGAAGGTGTGAACATTTGGTAATGTTTTCTTACCAAAAATACTATTAGTTTCAGTGATAATAGGTTTATAATTCTCTTAGCAATTTAGCAACTGATGCTAATAATTCAATGTAGACAACTTCTGCTATAATCTAAAGCACTGTTAATTTCTTTCAAATTTCTTTTATAGTTCGATATATCTATCCTGCCCGGTACTTAAGACAGATCCTTGAGGATGAAGACACAGTGAAATTGGTAGGATCAACAAACATTCCAGGTATTTATAAATTAAATAATAAATAACCAGTGCTTCTGAGAAAGCAATATGCATACTTTTAATTAAAGTCCATTTTAGCCCCAGAAATTAGAAAGCAGTGCTATGTCTCTTCATGTCCTCAGGATCATTTTTATCATATGGTTGTGTCTATTCAAGTTCAACCTTGCCTGCTGCACCTACTTAAGGTTTTGTAAGGAAATGATATATGTAGTATCTGGGCAATTTCTCAAAGGTAATTTGAACATTTAAGAATGTAGAAAATATTATACCACTCTATTAAAGTAGTGTCAGAAGGTATGCCCTGTAGCTCTTGATGTATTTTTAAAAATTAGGTATCTACATAATCTCATGTTTTGAATTCAGTCAATCCAAATTGATAGTTTTACTTTGAGATTTATTTATGCTATTTTTGTTTGTTAAAGTAGGCTTCTTTTGAAACAATGAATGTTTGAATTCAACTTTTGGTCTTCTTGCGGTCCTTCAAAATTGTGTTTTGTGTGACATGACAGGTTGATCTTAATTACTTGAGGAGGCTATTATTTTTGTCATAATATTTTAGTACCTTTTTTCCCTTTCTGCTTTCTCAAACCTCATATCAGTACTCCACTATTTTGCCTTTTTTCCTGATTCATGATCCTCATTCCAGCTTCTGGGTTTTCCAAGGTAAAGATTCCCATTGTTCAGGACTTCACATTACTCAGATGACCTAAAGAAGGCATTTGTAACAGTTCATTCTGCATTCATTTGCATCCTAGAAAAAAATTAATATATTTTTCTTCTAAATTTATAATTTGTAACATTACAGCATATGAATTTTAGTATGTTAATCTTGCAGCTATTCTTGGTGATCATCATATAACCCATTTAATTTAGTTATAAAATGGAAACATTGTTAAACACTGTACTCTGCTCTTTGCTTTCTCTTAAATTTTGTACAGTGAGGACTTAAGTTGTATGAAAATAAGTAACAAGTATATTGCAGAAGTAGGTCTGTATCGATCTGTCAAGCTCCAGTGTAGCGGAACTCCCACAGCTGGAACCAGGTTAAAATATAATTGGGAAATAGTTAACAAAACAAATTAAAATTATAGTACATCATAGATAATGTTAATTTGTGGTTTTCTGTTGTGGGGCTCAGCCATTTCTATTTGGGTTTGACATTCTTCCTGTAAACAGTATTACTCTAGAGATTTAATCATCTTGTTGTTTCTTCTGGTTGCATATGCAACTTTTGTGGAATTGGTATAACTCTCTGTACTCCTAGAACAAAACTTTAGTTGACAGTTTTTTTAAAAATAAGTTTTTTATTGATTTTTTAAAATTTATTTTATTTTATTATAAAACCAAAAGCTCAACCATCCCATATTCTATTACCATTTGATTGTTTTTTATAAATAAAACACCAAGAAGAGGGTTTGTTTAGGATTGAGAGGGAAGCAGTTCAGTTTTCTCTCTTAAAGTGATCAAAACTTCTGGTTATACTTCATCTTCCCCTGTATTTTTATTGCTTCTGTGAATAAAGATGAGAAAAAGATTTGTTTAAATTTGCTTATGGTTGAGGGGTGTAAGCAGAGTGAGCCCAGGGTACACGTAGTCCACACAATCAAACCCAAGATGAATTGGGAGATAGAAAGTGCCATCAAGTCACTAGACTCAGACATACTCCTTTCTTGGATTTTGAAAGAGAGGGTGAATGTGATTGTTGAGCTACTGACAAATTTTTGAAAGATTTTGGTGAATACGAGAGATCATAAAAGACTAGAGATGGCAGATATTTTGATTTCTTTTTTAAGGAAAGATAGTAGAGTTCGTAAGTAATGGGCCAATGAATTGAACTTGATTCCATCTGTAATCTCTTATTTAAAGAAATGGTTATTAAGTATCTACATGGCTAACATTGATCACAGAGGGTCAGTGTAACTTGACTAAAGATGGTTCATGCTGGACTGACATTTTCCTTCTTTCTTTCCCTTCCTTTCTTCCTTTGACTGATGGGAGATCAGTAGCAATAATGTTTATCTAGATTTTAACCAAATCTTTGACAAAGCCTCTCCAGCTATCCTTGTCAGAAAGCTGGTGAGCTATGAAGTGTTATAAGAGTTCAGGGTATCTAAAACTGTGTAAGTGATAGTCTAGCTATTCTCTTCCCACAGCAGATGATCTCTGGAATATTAGGTTCAATTCTGATACCACATTTTGAGAAGGAGAGTGATAAGCTGGAGGGGGACCAGAGGATTACAGATAGCATGTGAAGAGTCTTAAGATCATGCCATATGAGGATGGGTTAAAGGAATTATAGATGTTTAATCTGGAGAAGTTGTGTGTTTTGTTTCTATGGGGTGGGGCAGAGGTGGTTTGTAAGTATTTTAAGGGTTATCATTTCAAAGATAGGTAGAGTGGATAGTGATAGATGAGGGCTGGGCCTGGAGTCCGAAAGACTTAGCTTGAGTTCAAATCTGTCCTCAGATGCTTATTAGTCTGTGACTCTGGGCAAGTCACTTAAACCTGTTTGGCTGTGTTCCTCATTTATAAAATGATCTGGAGAAGGAAATGGCAAACTATTCTAGCATCTTTGCCAGAAAAACCCCCAAATACAATGAGTATGTTAAACTTAATCTCAGAGAACTGAACTAGGGGCAATAGCTGGAAGTTTTAGAGTCACAGAATTGAGCTCAATATAAATAAAAACTTTTTAATAAATAATGTTGTCCCATAGTGGAAGGACAATAGGAAGTAGCAGGTTTCTTCTTCCTTGAGAATTTTAAGCAGAGTATGATTGACTGCTTGTTGGGTATTTTGTAGAGTATGTTCTTATCTCGGTAAGGATTGGATTAAATGGAGCCAGAAGTCCCTTCTCTTTTTCGCGCTACTCTAAAGAAACCTTAGATGGGCCAGAGCCAAGATGGTGGAGTAAAAGCAGTGACTTGCTTGATCTCTCCCCCAGACCCCTCCAAATACTTGTAAGAAATGGATCCAAACAATTCTAGAGCAGCAGAAGCCACAAAAAGACAGAGTGAAACAAATTTCCAGTTGAAGACAACCTGGAAGGTTGGCAGGAAAGGTCTCTTGCGCCAAGCTGGGAGAGCAACATAGTTCAGTGTGGGCCAGCGCAGCAAAGACCAGGCCTCAGAAATCCTTGAGCAGGCCTCAGAGAACTGAATCATGGACAGCTGTGGCAATTTCCAGACTTCTCAACCCACAAACACCAAAGACAACTTAGAAGGTCAGTAGGAAAGGTCTATCAACCATGGTGAGAGAGGAGCTCGATCCAGCCCCAGTCTCTCCACAGCCCTTGGGTGGTGGCTACTTTTGGAGCCTCAGCCTACAGACAGAGTGGGGATCAAGTGGCTGATCAGAGAGGGATTGCAGGGATCTCTTTGCTGGTGCTGAGGCAGGATTCTCTTGCTTTGCTTGTGCTTGGATCTGGGTTGCAGTCCTGGGTGGCGGTCCTGGGGCAAGGAGTGCCGGCGTGGTGGAGCTTGTGGTGGTGTGCAGAGATAATCCCCCTCACAGTTCCAAGGTAGAAAAGAATGCTTGTGGTCACTCATCGACCAGAGCATAAGCCAGGAAAGGAGTAAACACCTCACCCCTGATCATACCGCCTTGGAAGAACTGAAAACTTACATGTCCCTAGAAGTATCTCTGAAAACAGCTGCACAAAACCCCCGAAGTTTGGGACAGTACATTCTCCATGCTGGAAGCAGATCCCTACCTTAACGAAGAGTTTATCTCAGGTAATTGGCTGGGATCATGAGCAAACTTCACAAAAAAAGGCAGACCATAGAATCTTACTTTGGTGACAAAGAAGATCAAAACATACAACCAGAAGAAGACAACAAAGTTGAAGCTCCTACATTAAAAGCCTCCAAGAAAAATATGAATCAGTCCCAGGCCATGTAAGAGCTCAAAAAGGATTTTGAGAAGTAAGTAAAAGAAGTAGAGGAAAAACTAGGAAGAGAAATGAGAGTGATGCAAGAAAATCATGAAAAACAAGTCAACAGCTTGCTGAAGTAGATCCAGAAAAATACTAATGAAAATAATACCTTAAAAAATAGACTAGGAGGTGGAGCCTAGGTGACAGAATAAAAGCAGTGACTTGCTTGAGCTCTCCCCCCAAACCCTCCAAATACATGTAAAAATGGCCCTAAACAAATTCTGAAGCAGCAGAATCCACAAAAAGACAGAGTGAAACAAATTTGCAGCCCAAGACATCCTGGATGGTTGATCAGAAAGGTATATTACACCAGGCAGGTAGAGGAGCACAGTTTTGCATAGGCACACAGGGCCTCAGCAAACCTGGAGCAAGCCTCAGAGAACTGAATTGCTGGCAGCTGTGGCAGTTTCCAGACTTCTAGACCCAGGAACACCAAAAACAAGTTAGAAGGTCAGTGGGGAAAATCTATGACTGCAGTGAGAGAGAAGCATGGTCCCATCCCCAATCCCCAAACATGGCCCTGGGGTGCTGGCCTCTTCCAGAACGTCTGGCCCACAGACTGAAGGGGAATCAAGTGGCTGATGAGAAGGGGAGGGCAGGGATCTCTTGGATGGTGCAGGATTCTCTTGCTTTGCCCATGCTTGGATCTGGGTCAGAGTTCGGGGTGATGGTTCTAGGGAGAGGAAGAGTGCTGGCATAGTGGAGCTAGTAGTGGTGGTAAAGAGGAAATCTTCCTTACAGTTCCAAGGCAGAAAAGAGTGCTTGTAGTCGTTCACAGACCAGAGCACAGGCCAGGAAAGGAGTAAACACCTTGCTTCTTATCATAGCACCTTGGAAAAACTGAAAATTTATAGGTCCCTAGAAGTATCCCTGAAAACAGCTGCACAAAACCCCCAAATATTGGGACAGTACATTCTCCACACTGGAAGCAGACCCCTACCTTAACAAAGAGTTTAAAACTCAAGTAATCGACTAGGATCATGACCAAACCTCACAAAATAAGTCAGACCATAAAATCTTACTTTGGTGATAAAGAAGATCAAAACATACAACCAGAACGAGACAATGAAGTCAAAGCTCCTACATCCAAAGCCTCTAAGAAAAATATGGATCAGTCCCAGGCCATGGAAGAGCTCAGAAAGGATTTTGAGAAGCAAGTAAGAGAATCAGAGGAAAAACTGGGAAGAGAAATGAGAGTGATTCAAGAAAACCATGAAAAAGAAGCCAACAGCTTGCTAAAGTATATCCAGAAAAATACTAATGAAAATAATACCTTAAAAAATAGCCTAATCCAAATGGCAAAAGAGGTCCAAAAAGCCAATGAGGAGAAGAAAGCCTTCAAAAGCAGAATTGGCCAAATTGGAAGTTAGTGACTTTAAGAGAAATCAAGACACTGTAAAACAAGTCCAAAAGAATGAAAAAATAGAAAACAATATGAAATATCTCATTGGAAAAACAACTGAGCTGGAAAATAGATCCAGGAGAGATAACTTAAAAATTATTAAACTATTGAAAGCCATGATCAAAAAAAGAGCCTAGACATCAACTTTCAAGAAATTATCAAGGAAAACTGCCCTAATATTTTAGAACCAGAGGGCAAGATAGAAATTGAAAGAATCCACTGATCGCCTCCTGAAAGAGGAGGAAAACTCCGAGGAATACTGTAGCCAAATTCCAGAGTTCCCAGGTCAAGGAGAAATATTGCAAGCAGCCAGAAAGAAACAATTTAAGTATTGTGGAGACACAATCAGGATAACACCAGATTTAGCAGCTTCTACATTAAGGGACCAGAGGGCATGGATTATGATGTTCCAGGGGGTAGAGGAGATAGGATTACAACCAAGAATTACCTACCCAGCAAAACTGAGTATAATCCTTCAGGAGAAAAATGGTCATTCAGTGAAATAGAGGACTTTCAAGCATTCTTGATGAAAAGACCAGCGCTGAATGGAAAATTTGACTTTCAAAATACAAGACTCAAGTGAAACATGAAGAGGTAAATAGGAAAAAGAAATCGTAAGAGACTTATTAAGGTTGAACTATTTATATTCCTACATGGAAAGATGACATTTGTAACTCATGAGACCTTTGTCAGTATTAGGGTAGTGGGAAGGAAAAGTTATATGTATTTATATGTATATACACACACATATATATACATACATATATATACATACATATATATATATACACACATAGATGGATAGATAGATAGATAGATAGATAGATAGATAGATAGATAGATAGATAGATAGATAGATAGAGGGCATAGGGAAAGTTGAAGATGAAGGAGTGATATCTGGAGAATAAAATTAAGGGGTAGGAGAGGATTATACTGGGAGAAGGAGAAAGGGAGAGGTAGAATGGGGTAAATTATCTCACATAAAATAGACAAGAAAAGGCTTTTACAGTGAAGGGGAAATGGGGGAAGGTGAGGGGGAATGAGTGAATCTTATTCTCATAGGATTTGGCTTAAAGAGGGAATAACATACACATTCAATTGGGTATGGAAATCTATTCTACCATATAGGAAAATAGTGAGGAAGGGGTTGGGGGGGGGATGATAGAAGAGAGGGCATATTGGGGGAGGGGGTAATCAGAAGCAAACACTTCTGAGGAGGGACAGGGTCAAAAGAGAGAATAGAATAAACAGAGTGGGATAGAATGAAGGGAAATATAGTTAGTTTTTCACAACATGAGTACTATGGAAGTGTTTTGCATGACTACACACATATAACCTGTATCAAGTTGCTTGCCTTCTCAATGAGGATGGGTGGGGAGGGAGGAAGGGAGAAAATTTGGAACCTAAAGTTTTAAAAACAAATGTTAAAAATTGTTTTTACATGCAACTGGGAAATAAGATATACAGGCAATGGGGTATAGAAATCTATCCTGCCCTGCAGGAAAATAGAAGGGGAAGGGAATAAGAGAATGGGGAGAGATAGAAGGGAGAGCAGGTTAGGGAAAGGGGCATTCAAAATGCACACAATCTTTGTGTGGGTGGGAGGGGCAAGATGGGGAGAAAATTTGGATCTCAAAATCTTGTGGAAGTGAATTTTTGAAAACTAAAAATAAATATTTAAATAAATTAGAAAAAAAGAAACCTTAGAGATCATCTAGGCCAACCTCCTTATTTTTCCAAAAGATAAAACTAAAGATTAAGAGGACTTGTGTGACTTGCCACAAGTCACATAGCTTGGAATTTCTTTTTTTTTTTTAAAGTTCTTTTTGAAGCTTTGTTTTACACTGTAGCAAAATATATGTATGTATACAAGATATTCATGTGTGAATTAATTTCTTTATTTAATTGAGTATGTACCTCATGAATATGCAACACTAGATATGTTATGAATAGACACATACATTATACATATTTGTTGGGGGGAGGAGAATTTAGATTTTAGACTTTAACCCATCTTTTTTCTATAGTTGTCTGGTCTTGACACTTTACTATTGAGGCCAGAGGTTCATAGGATTAGTCATGTATGATATCTTTGTGTTCTTACTGATATGTTATATGTGGGTTTGCATGTATATGTGTGTATATTTATGCATGCAAAACCACTTCATCCATAGGGTAGTAAGCATCTAGATGAAAAGCTTCTGGCAGCCTATAATGACTTTATTTTTCTTGGAGACTCAAGGGAATGATTGTGATTCTTAACATTAAGATGTATTCCTGACACATGCAATCTGCAATTAGAACAAAGACTTGATGTACTGTTTCTAAAGTGTTGCTTGACTCTTTGAATTAAATGTTAAAAAATCATACTGTTGAAACGCTTAGAAAGGGTTGGTAGATGTTCCATAGAGGAAGGTAGTAGACCTGAAACTTTCTGAGGAGGCACCACAAAGATAAGTTTAATCAGATCATGTTATGGAGGCAGTATGGGATGAGGGAAAGAGAACTAGCCTGGGAAGTGGAAGTTGGTGAGTCAGTCAACAACTAAGCAGTGGAGATAGGAAGAAAGGCAAAAACCTTCTTTTCATCAAGGAGTTCACAGTATAAATACTATGTACATATAAAATATATTTACCTGATTCTTATTACCCTACTTTTATATGACTTTGGTCATATAAAGTCATAAAAGCCATTTAAATTCTTTGATCTTATTTTTCCCATCTGAAAAATGAGAATTCTAGACAAAGGTCTCTAATATTCCTCTTATTCCCAATTAGAACATGAAGAAAGAAGTATTATGTCTCTTCTGTTCTAGGACATTATTACCTGTTTGGCCTTAGGCAAGTCATTCAGCTTCTCTGAACACTGGTTTCCCCATCTGTAAAATGGGAAGGTTGTTCTGCAGGACGATATGACCTCTGAAGTCCCTATTGGTTCTCGATCTATGATTCTGTGTTCCTGTGAATAGGAAAATCAGCTGTGGTCCTTAAAAATGATAAGATGATTTCTAAATTCTCTTCAGCTCATGAAGAATCCAATTATGTAAATTAGAAATAATCTTTCTGAAAATCAAGGTCACAAAGTGCCTTCATGTGTAGAACTATTTGGCTACGTATTATCCTCACAAATTAATTTCTTATTTTATATAGGAAATTAAGTCACACAGATGTCTTTGTTATGCCATGAGTGTTTTTATTTACTCTTCAGTATAAGAATCCCTTTCAATTTATAAATAATCTTTACAAAAGGAACAATAGACAGGACAAAGTTCTGACAGGAGCATTTTAATCTACATTGTAATTTTTAATTAAAGAATTCTCTTTTAAGAAGAATATAAATTATGGTAGGTAAGTAGAAATATTTTTGAATGATAAAGACAAATTTATTAGACACATTGAAGAAAATTAGTGGAAAAAGAAGAAAAAAATTCTACTCTTTTAAATTACTTTTCTATATTTATAAACCAAAGCTAAAAAATATTTTTCTTCTAGAAGTAAGGGCAATTATTATAGAATTAGAGTAACTGTAAAAGAACACAACAAAATCTAACATCTTTATTTTTATGGGGGAAGTTTTATAATACTAATATATTAGTATGGAAAAATAATTAATGTAGAAATATAATTTTGAATATTATATTTCAGTCAAAATTTATGTCATGTTGCATCAGAACAGTCCTCATATACCATGTATAACCAAAAAGCTGCGCGATGTAGAGTTGGTAGACCCAGTATTCCTCTGGCATACACCAATTGGTAGTGCTATTCCAGGTAAGATTTTGTAGTTTTTATTATAATTACTGAGAGATATATTTAATGTATTCAGTAGGGAAGGTTATGGTATGTGCCTCCTAAGTGAATTTATCCCTTCCCTTAATGCTTTCATTTAATTTTTGAATGAGGTGTTTTAGAATTTAGAGTCTAAGATTGCAGTAACTATTTCCTAAGGAGGATGAATTTGAAGTAAGGAAATGCAGACACAGCATAGATCATTGAGCTGTTTGAGAAAATTCAATAACCTTTAAATATTCCAAAGGAAATTCTTTCCATATTGTTTGAAATATGCAGCTTACTTATCTAGCTTAGATTATTTTGTGATCTCTTTCTTTAACTGTTTGTAAATATTCTGCGAAGCAGATTTGTTCTTTGGTGTCTAAGGAAGATGTAAGTAAATATGTACTTAGAGATATGTAGTCATAAATAGAGAGCTTTATTTTACTTGAGCAGGTACATCTGGTAAGACTACTGGTGAATCAATTCATAATAGCTTTTATAGGTTGTTCTAAAGTATTTTACCAAATAAGATTTTGGACATAACATACTATTATATTTGTCTTAATTTTTATTTTTATTATTCACTGAATTACTATTCAGTATAATATACAGTATTTCTAAGTATTAAAAATTAAGCTTTTAAGTATTAATTCTGTACCCTATGGTTTCCACATTGATTATATATTAATGCCTGGTAGTTATTTTGATTAAGCAGCTCTCCTCTGTTTCATATGTCATCCTTTTCTCTCTTGTATCTTCAATCCTTCTTTCTCTGCTGACTTCTTTCCTTCTGCTTATAAACATACTCAGATCTTCTGTCTCCAAAAGTCCTTCCTTTGCTCTCACTACTCTTTCAAATTATCATCATTTCTCTTTTTCTTCACTGTCAAACTTCAAGAAGGAATAATTTAAACTCACTTCTTTAATTCCTTGCGGTCTAATCTTAATTCTATCCTTATGATTTTATTGCAGTTTTTTCTCCAGGATTGTTGATAATCTCTTTATTGCCGAAGCTTATGACTTTTTTCAGTCCTCCTCCTACTTGATCTCTAGTATTTAATACTTCTGGATTACCTCCTCCTTGATATTCACCCTTCTTTTGACTTCCAAATTAGTCCTTTCCCTTTTACTAGATCATCATCTTCCTCATAGACATTAAATATGGGTTGCCGAGGATCTGTTTCTTACTTTCTCCACAGTCTTGGTGTTTCATCCTCTTCTTCTTGAAGTGTGGCAGTTTTTTTTTAAACTCACAGAACTTAGCATGGTCCTTGCTATATAGTACATACTTAATAGATGCTTATTCTCTTCTTCTGATTCTTAAGTGAACTTTAGTTATTAGCAGAATGATGCCAAATCTATATTTCTTCTTTTGACTTTTGCCCAGTATGCTAGTTCTTTAATTCATAATATCTATTAGGTGTCTTCACCTGGTTGTCCTCTTGACATCTAACACTCAATTTTTTCAGAACCAAACTGATCATCTTTTCTCCACAATTTGCCATTCTTCATAGCTTCTCTATTTCTGTTGATACTACTGTTACTTTCCCTTGCTCAAAAACTCTGTGCAAAACCTTGCATTCAACTTGGACTTTTTCCTTCTCATACTAGATCCTTTCATTGTTAAGTACAATAGATTCTGCCACCTCAGTATCTCTTAAATTTTCCCTTCCCTTGAATTTCCTCTTCAATCACCTTATTTAAGGCTTTTATCATCCTTCAACTTTTATCATCCTGTAATAACCTTCCAACTGTTCTGCCTTCTTCCATTCTCTTCCCTCTTCAATATATCATTTACTTCTATACTACTAGTCTTTCTAATGTATGCAACACTCTGCATTATTCTTCTACTTAGAAACTTTCAATGTCTCTTTATCACCGATTTAATAAAGTATAACTCCTTATCTTTGTGTCTCCATAATTCTGGCTCCAACTTGCTTCTGGTTTTCTCTCATATTCCTTCTTATCGTAGTCTACACTACAGCCAAATATATCACCCTAGCCCTTTTAAATCTGCCCTTTCCCATGCCATTCCCTTTGCTCACACAGTCCCCAAAGCCTTGAACAGACATTCCTTCTTCCTTTTAAATCGTTTACCTCCTTCAAGATCTAAATCATATTCTACCTCCTTCATGAAGATTTTTCTAATTATTCTCAGTTTAAAGCAATCACTGTTTCCTCATATTTCTTGTAGCAATCTATAGGATCCATTTATTTTCAACAAATATATTCTGCCTTCTATTAGGTTTATTTTTGTTGTTGTTAATGTCTTATTCCTGTCACCCCTTTCCCCTTTCCCACCATTCATTTATGTTTCTTGAGGGAAAAAGTTATGTATGAAAAGCATCTATTAGAGTACTTTGCATATGATGGACACTATTTAAATGTTTGTTGAATCGACTAGAAACAATACATTTAGTTGCTGCTTATACACATAAAGAAAAGATTTGAGCCAGGCCTAGATGATAGAATACATTTTACCAATTTAAATGAATAAATATGGACTATTGTTTGCAAAAGAGTGTTTCTGTAGTCATTAATATTTGTGTTTCACAAATATATTTTTTCTGTTCTTTCTTATTCTCTATTGTAATTCTTTAAATGTATTTTGCTTTTGCTTCTCATTTAGTAAAAAATGATTTTTTTTACCATTTGATATAAAGAAATCCAAATTAACATAGCTGTTTTTTATGTTCGGGCCTGCTGCAAATCCAGAGTGATGCATTGTTCTCCTAATGACCTGTTGGAAGAAGCATCCAATCATCATCTCATTGCCTTTGGGAAGAGGTTTCTTTTTTTTAATAGCTCTAGTCAACATTTTTTTTCCTTAACCTGTTGGCATTGTGAGATTGTGCCTAAGGATAAACATTTCTGCTTACCTGTAAGTTTATGTTATTATCTTTAATGAAGGAAAAGAGAGAAAAGCAGCATATGTAAAAGTGTGCTAAAATTACAGCAAACATTTATTTTGAGAAATAAAAAAAATCTATTAGTTCATATTTTTACATAACTACAGAAACTTATAATCTTGTACACTAAAGTTGGCATTCTTATATTCACTGTAAATGTCACAGAAGAATGTATCATACCAGATCAGACCATTGTTAGTTATGTTCATTTCTTCAAGAAGTAGTTGACTGCTTGCAGTCTACAAATCTCTGAAAAATACAAAGCTGTATTTCCTTCAGGAGCCCATAGCAGCTTCTCTAGCACTGATGATCTTGTAGGCCTTTACACTGCTAGTTAGATACTTGTCACATTCCAGTTTGTAATATTTGTTTGGCTACTCACCTTACTCTCCCTACTAGCTTGGAAGCTCCCTGAGGTTAGGGACTGTATCTTATTTCTCTTTGTATGTTTTTGCCCCTAGACCCCATGTCTAGTACATTGAACTTACTGTGTAGTTAACAAATGAATTGAACGAGTGAAGCCAGTGTGTATTTTTTTCCCAGGAAAGGCCCCTGTCTCCCTAAGGCATCATAGAATTCTCTTAATTTTACATTGTGGTATGTGTAGCACTATGCAGGGCAAAAAAATTGTTCCTGTTATTGGCTTATTCTGTAGGTAAGATTTTTCATCTCTGGCGCTAAACAGTCTTTGTTCAGCTAAAATATTTAGTGGTAGCTGATTACTTCTAGTTGTTAAAGTTATTTCCACCTCAGAAAGTAGTTTGGTACCATAATCAGAAAGGTAGCTGCCCCCAAGTGAGCATAAAACTTAACTGCAAAAAGCACCTTCCTCCAGATTTAGAGGATTCTTGACTTCTTTCAGAAATACACAAATACATAAAAGGAAGTAAGTATTTAAAAATATCTAGTTTGTTAAAGCCCAAAGGTGCCTCTCCTGCATGAAATTACAATGAAAAAGGTAATTCATATTGCTGTTACTTTCATAAGACTTTGTGTTTTATTAAAATGAAAGATTTCTTATCACATCCTTAAGGAAAGAAATCCAGGTGTCTAAAAGAAATGCAATAAAATTAGGTTCTCAGTGGAGTAAAAGTCTGTTACTGTCCTGTTGAGGCTTCTGTCACCAGTTTCTGCACTAGTCTATCTGAAATTTAATCTCGTGTTATTACATTTATTTGACAATAAGAATAGTAACTAGCATTCACATAGTTCATTTACATAGTGTTTGGAAAGCTCTGTATATTCACTGATTCGACATTTACAACAGCTCTGAAAGGTAGCTATTACAGGTCTCCATTTTGTAGATGAGAAAACTGAGGCTTAGCATGCAGCTAGTAAGTATCAGAAGTAGGACTGGAATTCCAGTCTTCTTGACCCCCAAGTCTATCACTCTTTCAACTATGCCACATTGTCAGAAAGGTAGTTTTATTAAATATCTGTGATTAGGCATTCTTGACAAAATACATATCAACCATGCACATAGATCTGTGAAGTGAAAGAACTGTGATTGCCAGTTACAAAAATAAGCGTCTGTCATACTGAAGTATTTGTATGGCACTTTATGGTGAACCATCTCCTTTATGTAACGATGGTTTTTTCCATTCTGTTTAATAGATGAGGACAATTATTACTTTGATTTTAAAACTATTTAAGTTATAGACATAAACTTTCCCCATTACCTTACAGTGGTGTGAATAATTACTGTAAATGGAAAAATTACTTGAAAAGGATGTATTAATCTAGATTTCTTTTATTCATCAAGCATTCTTTGAGTTCCCCCATAAAACAGTATAAAATTGTACTAGGTGCTTTGGGAGGCATAAAAAAAAGGAATTGAGTTTAGCAGTTTACTTGAAGAAGAAATAATATAACAAATGAAACTGTTAAAAAACAATTGTGGAAAGCAGTAAATGTTAAGTGAATATGGGTTAAGGGAATGAATGTTGGAAGAAAAGATTTCTTGGAGAGACTTCAGTTTTGAACTGACTGATATATATGTAATATATTATTATTTGTTATATATTAATTAATATCAATTAAATAATAATTATAACATATAATTTATATACAGTGTATATTTTATGATGT